CAATAATAATAATACGAAGAAGAAGAATAACAAGGAGTTTTTAAAAAAATAGATAATAGCCACACAGACACGACATATAAACTAGACGAATATATGTATACACATGGATGCTAAAATGATTGAAAAAATGTCGACATAGTTATTGTTATATTCACTTTATTATATTTTACTATGAATAGAATAGGAACAATGGAAGAAGGAGAGGGAAAAAAATGGAGGAAACATGCCAAGAAAACTTATTTATATGAAGCTGAATAAAAGTTGTGAAAGAAGAGTGGTATTAGTCAAGATTCTCTCCTCCTCACATCAGACAGCGTGTCTTATTTGCAAGCGCGTCTCAGACGAACGAGCGAAACTCAACGATAGGAACGTATTAAATAATAGCTACATTTGATTTGCTTTCAGTCCTCGTCGTCCTATTATCATCAACGCGTGTAGTCGAAAGATGCTAACAACTCAGCGACTTTCCTCATGCTTACTCTCAAGCCTTCGCATATACACAATGCATATCTTGCGTTTCATCGTTCTCCTGAAATTCTTCATGTGGCTACGTTCGGCTTCTCTGTTTCTCGCTCTTTCCCTGCTGTTCCCACAGGCGTTGACACTAACTAGAAAGCAAGTGCTATCGATATCGCTTGGATGCTTAGATTTTATGTTCCTCTCCATCTTCTTTGATCGATCTCATCCTATCATTCGATGATGATGATGATGAGAAGCGTAAATCGTTCGCAAGATTTTTTTTTTCTTCATCTTATTATATCGTGTGAGTCTTCTCGGCTTTAGTGTAATGATTAGGTGTCGGCATCCAACGAAAGATCTAGTAAAGGACGTCGCACCAGACACATATACAAAAAAAAGGCAATCGTAGTCATTATTCTGATCCTTCGTTGTGTTCGTCTTGCTCTTCTCGTGTAACCTTTATACTTTTCAGCGTGATGTCAACTATTCGTCAGTATACAGGTAGTTATTTCGAGGGAAAAGGAGAAGATAAAGAACTACAGAAAAAAAGGTAAGAAAGAAGAAAAAAGCGGAAATTGTCATCATTCTCACGGTTGCACACAGGGGAATATTCTTAATGGTGATGAGAGATTTTATGTGACAACGACGAACTAAACAAGAGAGAATAAAAAAGAATAAATAAAATAGAGTACATAATCAAGAAATATATGTAAATACGAAGATCAAGGGACGAACAATAGACTTGTTAATGATAGCGTGTAATTTTCTTCTTCATTGACTATAATATCCTAAACAAAGTGATTGCGTCGTTCTTTATCGTTCTGTATGTCTAACTATTTTCTTGCTAAGGCCAATTGGCAATGGTGGTTGAGGAAAAATGTATGTCGAGTAAATATCAACAGTTGTCGCATAGCTGAAATGAGAACAACATGATTAAAATATCGAATCAAACTAGCTGGTTAGATCTGATTTCATCGAGATCCGATGAAGATGAAATCATCCAAGTCGTAGACAATTGATTACTTAACTAATCATATCTTTATCGGTGAGAGTCGATGTTTATTTCAGATGTCTCGGTCAAAGAACTTCTGCTCGTTTTCTGTGCTATTTTTTCTTGCTGAATAATATGACTTGTTTGCATTCGCGTAACAGACAGATATATAGTAAGCTACTCGCGCATCCAACGAGATCGAATCTGCATCTCGTTATTAATTAGAGAGATAGAGGGGAAAAAGAAAAAAAACATCAGCAACGAACGATTGCTTGATCAATATGCTACACAATCTTTATACTTCTCATTTAGTTTTGCTTCGTTCTTGTCTAGATTTCAATCAAGCATATAATATTATCGAACGTTGCATGGAAAAGATCGATCAATTCTATTTTTCTCAATCCGTCATTGAGATAGAGAAAAAGATTGTTATTTAACGCAAAAAATAATATTCAATCATTAGAATTCAGATGGATCGATGGATGAATGAGTGATCGACTGAAGAAAAAGAGCGAGATAGAGAAAGAGAGAGTCAACCAGACACACGCATTTACAAAAATCACACGCAGAGATTGAACTCTCACGTTGCAAAGTGATATAATATCCTAAAAAGCTCATCTCTAATGAATAAATAAGAATGGATAAAAAACCAGTATTATTTCTTCAATAGTCGTCGTCGTTGTTGTTGTCATCGTTGTCGTTCGCTTTACTAATGTGATGCTTGCACAACGAACAAATCGTAGAATGAGAACGATGAAAAGAAGAAGAAGAAGAAGAAGAAGAAGAAAACAGACACGAGAAAATACTATGAAGGAGTGTGTAGTTCTTTTTACTATATGCATTATGAGAGCATAACTTCTTGAGACAACTCGTTTGTGAGAATCGGCTCCATTGTGAAATTTCTAATCATTGAACTATACATGAAAATTTGCTACTGACGATATTTTAATCGGTACCGTTCAATAAAAAGGAATAGAAAAGAAAGAAAACAAATACAGCTGATGGCGCCGGACGACCATACCGTTTTCTACCCGGAGTCACCTTGACGAACTATCGAGTAAAAATGTGTGCGCGTGTGTATACGAAATCAAACACACACCACTGTTAACTGATTAACATAGACGCGGAAAATGTATGTATATATAGATAGATGTGTGTGTGTGACACAGATGGAAAAAAATGAAATAAAAGAAATGAAAAGAATTTTCTTATGTTTTAAGTAGAAAACTATCGATTTGTTTCTTGGTGATCGTCATCTGTCATCGTTTGATGGTGGACGTGGGGCGCCCGGAGGCTATATATTTCAAATACAAAAAAAGAAAAAGGAGAAAGCTTGACATTTTGTTATATTTCCTTCCGGTATTCTGTGCAGTGACGATGAGACTCCGATGTCAAACTATTCGCTATGGGGTTTGCAAAAAAAGAGCGAAGACTGTTCAGCAAAACAAAGGTCCTATTGCTTATCAATGTTATTAATCATAGCTGTCGTTTACACTGATAACAACTGTAGCAGTAGTAGTCGAACTAAGAACATCAACGAGTCATTATTCTGTTAGATGTTGATGGCATTGTGAAGAGAAGAGGAAAAAAGATTTCAGAGGGAGAAGATGAAACAGAAGAAAGAGAAAAAGCATCCGACCGAAGCAAATGTCAATCGCAAAATATTATCAAGCCGGCACAGAGCTGTTATATATACGCAGACACACGTGTCATCGTTTGCAAATAGGCAGAGACCATTGTTCGCTTGAGATCGATCTCTGGCCAACGAGGAAAAGAGAAGAAGAGAGAGAGAGAGAAAGCAAAAAATAACTCGAATAAACAAATCGATGGCACCCGTTGCACACACACACATACACACATTATTTTTCTTAATACAACTGATAGCGGAAATGAGGCGGCTAGCAACCCGTTCGTCTTGCTACTTTCCGATATCTTTGCTTTCCGTATCAATGACTAGTCAGATTAAACTGCTAGTTGCTCGTCTTCTCGAACTTTCTTTCGTATCGAAGAATTGTTTTAATCATTAGTTCCGGGCCTCTTCTCGATTTAAATATAAATCCACATTTGTATATTTGTGTATGCATGTAAATATAGATATACATGCTGATGGACTTCATCTGTAACACACTAAACAGATGGAAACACTATCAGAAAGAAAAGAATTCAGTTATGTTTGATGTTTGATGAGTTATAGAGGAAAATGCGTTTAGCGATGGACGTGATAATGATTGTTCATGCGTTTCGATTAGCATCTATTTAACATCTTATCGATTGTATAAAACAATCGACATATACAGATGGTGGATTTATCAATCGTCGATAAAGACCAGTCTTATGATGCTTTTCATATCTAAATAATCCTGTGTGTCGATCAGGCAAGACTAATATCAAAGGAATACATGCATAAATGCCAGTGAAATGTAAGAATTACCATATATAAATACAAAGAAATACAGAATGCAAATCTTCAACTTGTGATATTTCTCGTTTCGTTGATAATAAGACAGTTAATTAGATTTTCTCTTACTTAACTATTATAATGTTAGCTTTGTCTATTGAATGGCATGAAGAGGAAAAAGGACGTGTGAAGTCAGGATTTGCGAAGAGTATACGATATAATAAGGTTATCGAACCATGACCTAGATCATTCGATGATTGGTCGACAGAATTAAAACGAGTTGTTTGTTAAATTGTTATCAGTAATATCGTCGAATACGTCAAATAGAAAATATGCTAATTGTATCGTGAAATTTGCCGAGTAGAGTCGTTTAACAGCTGGAAGAATATATGACATTAAAGAGGAAAAAAAAACTATCATCAAATTAACTACTGATAACATTTGTCGTCGCATAATACTAGTCTAGAGTCCAAAAACCTAATGAAAGAAAATGAGAAGAGAAGTTTTTTGTCAGGAGAAAAAAAGGCGTTCCTTTGTTTCTATTACTAATTATTTCTTTTTTTTATCTTCATGAACAACTTGAATTTTACAGTTTGAATCATTAGAGTGGATGGAAGTAATAAAGCTATTGATAAAGTCCTTAAGATACCAATCAGAAACGATATTCTGAGTATAGTCTGATAATTACTTCGAGCAAAACAAACAACACGTAAACGATAATGACAAGCAAGGTTTTCTCTCCTGGAAATATCGATGATCAGCATGTATTTCCGTTTGGATTTTGTATAGAGACTAATGATAGCAATGCAGTCGGATCGAAGATTCAAAGGTCTTTCTTTTTGATATAATGACTATCGATGTCAGAAAACGATCGATTGTGTTTCAGCTGAAATCGAAAGAGAAGAGAGGAAAACTATGTGTACGCGATTTTACTTTCATTCTATTGTTTCGCTTTCTTTGATATATCTACCTACTTTCATGTATTCATATTCGAGGTATCCGATAGAGAACGACAGTCGAATCTTTCTTTTTCTTTCTTGGATTTTATTTATATCGTCACCCAGACGTGTTCATTTCAGTTGCACTCGCTGGTTTCGTTCGACTGGTGACTATCTAGCATAAGCGTATCTTTGAAAGTCTAAGTTTGTGATCATGAATCCAAACGGTTCGATCTCGATGGGCGATGAAAAATTTCAAATGAATGTCGATCAAGATATTGACGATCATAATCGACTAATAAAATCACGTTTCTTGAATCAACGTCGGCCATTGCGTTTAGCATCATTGATTTATCCGATTTTATTGGCTATACTTCTTATAATCGGTACTGTACTTTTAATTCTTACAATCACTCGACGACAAGCATGTCGACAACAACAATTGGAACAAGCCGAAGTTCTTCTAGGATACAAACCTGATCTTCATGTAAGCATTTCGACCAACATTTCCTTTCTGTCTGTTCTAATCAGACTTGTTTAGATGAAGACATGGGTACCATGTGTGAAAACAGCTACAAACGCATGCGCATGCCCAGCCACATTTATTCATTCTTCAGCGAATCCATCGCATTGTATTCCAAATCATTCGCGTTGTCTCGAATCATGTAAAATGAATGAACATTGTAAATGCCACAATCTAGTTGATCCACTTCGTTGCCGCATCGCCACACGTGGCTGGTTCGATAATGAAATAAAGGTTGGTCCTGTCGAACGTTTTCGCAATCCAGTTACAAATCCATTATTACAATACACATGGATGGACAAATTCAATCGTCAATTAGAACGTTTATTAGTCGATTTACGCGGAGGCGAACGTTTGTTTTTAAGTGCTGATAGACAGACAGGTATTGCTGTTCATGAACACGATGACGATTATTTATTGAATGAACGTTGGACTAAAGTCGAAATCAACAGTACACGACAACATATTGTCTATACACAACTAAATCCCCAAACACACTCCGTATGTGAATAATACAATCCATCTTCTTCGAATAATACTTCAACTTCTCCTATCTATTTAGTGTCGTATGTCATCATTGCAAGATGATGGTTCAACCACTCATGGCCCAGTTCATTCATGTCCGGGTACACCAATGGGTGCTCCATACTTTTTTGGTGTTGCTTGCAAAGATGTTCTTGTTCTGTGGCACGGTTCTCGTCAAATTAAACTTCGACGACAAGAAGGTTGGACCATGGCTCGCCATCATTTTGAATCAATTATCCCACATCTACCTGTTCTACTCGATCCATTTCATCGTTATTACTCTTTATATGACGATTCTATGATCGAAATCAAGGATTTGAATGGTGACGTTCTTGGTCAACGTTTTACTGATATTATCAAACCGACACGATTCGAATTTATCGATCATCATGGTACAATTTGGGTTGCTAACCAAACACATATGCAATTATTTCATTCCAAGAATGATCAAGCATGGCTTGATTTTTAAAACAGCTCTTTTATTATTCCGTTTATAGACTACGTTTTAACTTTTATTCAATATGAATAAACAACCATACACCGTTTTCCAAAGCATGACTAGTTTCTAATCAGAAAGTGCATCAAGCCTATTTTTCTTCACTTGATTGACAGGTGTGTGCAAAACATAGGACCTGTACAGTTGATCGCCCATCTTAGATTATATTAAAGAATAAGCACATGCTTCATTATTCAGTCAAGTGTTTGTTTACGTTATCATCTACATCGAGCACATTTGGCGTTTACTTTTTTTCAGCCCATCTTCACCCTCATAGCCTTTATTTACGTGTCCTAACCTGGTCATGCTCGTATATTGAAGAAAATAAGTAAACTTGAAAAGCTTTCTCGGTCACTGTCTACTAGATAGAATGCTAAAATTGTGTGCACATGCAATTGAATATTATTCTGATTGTTGAACAGAACTATCTACTATGATTTCAGAAAAAGTACAAGTTCATATTATGTCGAAGATTCTTTATTTATTATTTTCGTCTACGAACTGTGTTACACAAACAAAACATGTACAATCACTCTCATCAAACGTAGTTTTGAAAGCTATCTATGTTCGACCGCTACTTGTATTGACGAACCGTAACGCCAAGTATGCACAGAAACGAAAACAGACAAACATGCCGAAAAGCACAAGAAAATTCAAACCAATATTAATCCCATAATCAAAATATTGGAGTGCTTCATTGCTAATGAATGTTCCGTTGGGATTATTTCGACATGAAATCACGTAGGAGCCATCGACGCATTGATACACTTGTCCACCTTTGAATTGTAATTGTAAGCATGCGTTATAAGCATACTTGAAAAACGAGAACCATTTGCCCCAAACACCCAGCCAATGTGGAAGATTTCGAACGAAGAAGCCCCCGACTAACATCAGTGTGATCAGAAGAACTGTTGCAGCTGTGATAGCATGGTGTAAGTTTTTTAACGCTGCGCCCAAAAGTAGACCGAGTGATTCGGCTACCAGGATGGATAGAAGTTGAAAGACAAGAATGGCAAGGAAGATGCCAAAGTTATTGTTAATTCTCGCCATCCAGTAGGAAATGATTAGAAAGATTGTTGGTAAAACCAACTTCAAGGGAGCTTCAGCTAATGACTTGGCAACAAAATAAGCTGATAAACGAAATGCACCACTTGCACGTTCCTTTTCGATAACACCACGTTCAAATGGAAAAGATAACAGACCCATCATCAACGTATGTAAAGGCCAAAATGTCATGAGAAAGAAAATAAACGACGATCGATCAGGTATCGTGTCTTCTCTGAATTCCATCCGCAACCAACACAAACCACTTATTACAGCTAAAGCTATTGATTGTATTAAGTTAAGAGCAGTAAACTGGGCTTTTCCTGTTAATCGGAAACTTCGTGAATATAAGATTAACATTTGTGGCAAAAATCCAATTGGCCATTTGCCTTCACGACCATCTGGAATCAAATTCACGTTGTCCGGATTGGTCAGATCACTTTCTTTTCCCGATGGCTCAGCCATCAAATATCGACTAGATTCTGACAATTGACTTGGTATTTGACCACTAATGATTCGATGTTGGAGATATGCTTCCTTCAATTCTTCACGAATTTTCATATCTTGATTAACGAGATCCATAACATAATCTGCCGGATTGTACTGACTTGGACAATTGTAGTTCATTGTTGAAAAGTATGCGAGAGCATTCGATGGTCGACCCTGTGAATAACAAATTAGTGAGCATGAATACAACACATTATCAGTTTATACATACCATGAAGATGCCTTTGCCATCTGCGAGCAGAATGAGTTGATCAAATGATTGAAAGATTTGTGATGATGGTTGATGAATGGATGTGATGATTGTTTTTCCTTGCATAGCCAATTCGCGGAGTACATCCATGAGTGAGACAGCGGATGTACTGTCCAAACCGGATGTGGGTTCTATACAAGCGTGTACATACGTACATATAGATGAATACAATGAAGAACATTTACTAACCATCAAGAAAGATAACACTAGGATTAGTCAGAAGTTCAGTTCCAATATTAACACGTTTTTTTTCTCCGCCAGATATTAACATAATAGGAGTATTGGCACACTTTCGAATACGAAGTTGATCGATAATGATTTCAACTTGTGCAAGTTTATCTTTTCGAGATAGATGATTAGGCAATCGAAGAAGTGCAGTATAGGTAAGTTGCTGTTTGACAGTTAAATTTTCAAAGAACAGATCCTGTTGAAGAACATAAGCAAGTTTTCGCTTCATAGCGCGATCATATAGCTGATTATTGTACCAGACATTACCGGTGACACCGCTCAATGCTCGACCAGCAAGTGTATTCAGAAGTGTTGTTTTACCACATCCTATGAAAGAACTAGATGTATATACATCATAGTATGCATGTATGACACTCACCTGATGGTCCCATAAGTGCGACGATTTGTCGGGGAAGAATTTGGCCAGAGAGTTTGTCGAGAAGAGTTCGTTGAATGAACCGTTCTTTCGATGATGGATCGATCATTTTAGCCGGAACATTGATCACTTTAGAAACGTTATGAAACGTAACTGTGATGCGCGGAGATTGTGCTGCCATGATTTGCTCACCTTCAATCGACATTTGAGTTTGTAATGTGTCACCATCACGCATTTCAATAGTATATACTTTATGTTGACCATTAGGAGTATATGCCGGCGGTCTTTCATACGTTGGATCAATATACGATGGATTGATATACGCACTTTGATCTTCAGAGTCCATATTACTATTAACTTTTGATAGATGAAAGAAAATGAATGACGCTATGATTCGCGTTTTGTGTTTATATACATATGGAGGACAGTAAGATGCACTCAAAATACGATAATTGTCGTGATCATTATTATTGACGTGTATCGACTGCAATATGCAACCTCGTCCTTTAATGCCGTTCTCGATACGTTAGTGTCGCGTATACCTCTAGCGGTTGTCATAAAGCAGAAAGTATATGCAATATGTACTTTATTAAGGTAGAAAAAATGCTTCGTAAGAATGATGCTGGAGCTTTTTTATTTCTTGTTTACAAAAGGTGCTATTGTTAGATGCGTATCATCCGATATGCTAAATTGCTATGGTTCATAAACGATCGCAATAAATTATCGTTGCACTTCATGAATCCTCTTCTGTTATACCTTACATCTTGAGATAAGAGTGAGTCGAAAAAGAGAATAAGATGTCCTTTTTAAGAAAAAATTTTATCTTTTATCTATTCTAGCTTGTTATTAACAAAAAATAACCGCGTGTTGTGTTAGATATTTGCATTTTGTTATTTTTTATTTGATTTATGATTAATCATTCGAGTAATTTTCGGGTTAACCTTCTCTAATGAATATTTATTTATGCAAGATTTATTTTCACTAAAAAATGAAGTATATTCAAGATTGTGAGATCACACTGTAAACAAAAATAGACAGAAACAGAAAAGTCAGGAAAAGAATATCTAATTAAATGACGAACGAAACTCGAAAAGTCATTACATAAAGCACCGTCGTAGAAAAGCGAAACACAAACCAGCTGACATCAGAAGATATCTGGACAGACATTCCAATTTCGTTGCCAGTATTTCTCATTGGAAACCCAAACATCTTGTCCGGTTATTTCATGTTTCATCAGACGAAACCATCTAAACAACGAAGGAATGAGAGAGAAGTCAAGCAGCTGAATGATTCGTACCTTGGTTGCCAATCTTCTCGACGCTTTTCCAATGCTCGTCGCGAGACCCGTTGCTTTTCTTCGAGACGGTCTTTTTCTTGTCCAGCTAAGTCAATATTACCTTCTTCCATTTGACGAATATCCGGACGAAATCGTGAATCTGTTGGTGGTAACGGTGGTCGAGTTTTCTTATCTTGTTCTGTCCATTCATTTAATGCCATTGTAAATAACGAAAAGTTGTAGTACTAAAACGGCTTATTCTTGACTTATCAAAGGTTACTTTCGTAATTACTTGTGCTGCATAGTCTAGTTTTGGAATGATTCTCCACAGTGTGATCGAATTTGGTGGAAGATTGAGTTGTTCGTGTGTCGGATCAACATCTGGCAATTCTTCATCTGGATCGTTACTATCAGCGCCATTTGCTGCTGCTGCCGCTACTGCAGTTGTTGCCTGTTGGGGAGGATTTTTCGAAGCATTCTTTAGATCCTTCTTTTGTTGCTTCAGAAATGCTTCGAAATGATTGATATCAATTGAATACAAAGCATCTGTCCAATAGCCGTATAATCCACGTATTTTATTTTTGCTAGACATTCAATCGTGCATCACTATGTAGACGATTTTTATAGGTTGTAACTTACTTGCCATCGTAAATGTAGCCTTCAACTTTATGTAATTCTTTTGATGACCATGAATAGGGTTTAAAATTAATAATTGCTTTGATCTTATTAGAATGATTGACAATTTCCATAGTACCATGCTAAATTAAAATCGTCAAAGCATAATTAAATATCACATACGATGAGCACAATCTCTTACATATTCGAACCAGAGCTTACCAACAACGATATTATGAATTGTACATGTCACACTTTCCCATGTGTAGACTTCCTTATGTCTAGTGATGAGAGAAAACGAAAGCAATGTCACCTTTTTTTTACGTTTCTTATTGGCCTACCGTTTAAGTTCTAATGTTAATAAACCTTTGGGATTGACTTCCATATTTTTAACAGAAAACTTCGCTTTCGGCAAAATACTTCCGTAAAATCTCCATCGATCGCCATTGTTTTTCGATTCACATGTAAATGCACTTACTGGTGGGTGATGACTAACTTGTTCGCTCATATAACGAAATGGTACATCATCTCTTTATCAAATTTCGAGATAAAATATCATCGAACGATAATAACATCTATCTTACCGAACGAATTCGTACGTTTCACCAAGCAACGGATTGAATGGTTTCGACAAACGATCGCAATTGTTCGATATCGATGACACAGCGAAAGCGGCAACGTACTATTCGAAAAATAGTTAATAAATCTCCAACAGAAATAGGAATATACATACCTGCATTCTCATGTGTGGATCCGTACATTCGTCTGCCCGATCGAGTAGATACGAATAGAGCGCATTCTCAGTGAACCGCTGAAGAAATGAGATTGGCTCATTCCAGACAATTGGCATTGTTATTTTCGATAGTTCCTAGAAAAATAACTTGCATTTCCTTGATGATGCACTCAAAACTTTTCTTCCTGCTCATATTACAATTTTTATTTACGCTAGTTCCTAACATCCCAAGGCAAAACATTCTCGTCTGCCTATGGTTCTAACCAGATGTTACCTACAACGTCGACAGGTGACATCGAGCATTTCTATTTCTATGAACAACAAGTGCGAATAGTTGATGTGAATAATGAGAAAAACAAACGAGACGTTTGTGTTCATTACTCTGTATACAAGTGGAACGTTTCTTATTTTCTGGGTAATGCAATAGATGATTTTGATGTAAATTAAAACTGATTCTAATCTCATTTGTAATCTGAATTAGAGTGACTCTTCTAATACAATTGGACTTTATTTCATGCTATGTCCTGTTTCGATGAAAAATTGCACATAATTCAAGTGCTTTGAGAACTCATTCTGACATGTTGAAGCAGAGAATATCTTACTTTTCCAATACATTGTTTCAGGATACTCCAAATGCTGATTTGCGAACGATCAAACATTGGTACAGGAAGTTTTGTTCTAAACAGAAATCACAAGACAATACTTCATCAAGGAAACGGACGGTTCGAATCGTTACCTCTGTGCATTTTTCTGTAATGCAACATATAGGTTATCCATATGTGTATTGAAAAAATCAAGAGAAAGAACTTTTTCTAGAAACCGATTGGATTATAAATGACTTTAGGATTTGATGAGAAAATTCAATGTGCGTTTATGACTTTAAAATGTTAAGGCCACTGAATGAGAAAGAAAAGAAAGAAGTGTTTACTAGTTCTTCATTCTTTTCTTCTCCGTTTTTTTTTATTCCGAGCAAGTGTAAGAATGATATAGAGAATTTTATTTGCTGTTCATCCATCCGAGAGATAATTTCTTTCTCTCGCCTCTTTTAGAGAGGAAAAGAAAAGAAAAGAAAAGAAAGAAAAGACCTGCCAGTGTAAAAAGGATTCTAGCTGGTTTATCTAGTCACTATGTTTTCGATCACGCCACCTTTTCTTTCTCTGATATTATATTAAAATGAATGTCTAGAGTCTGAATGCGTTAGAGAAAAAGAGAAAGATAATAAAATTAGAGAAAAGCAACAGAGAAATGAGAGAAAAAGTCCGAGCCTCAAGTACTCGACATGATGAGACACAAAACAAAAATTTAACTTTTACTTACCGACCAAATTGCTGCCGGCAAAGACTGTTCCAAACACGCATTAAATCTCGCTGAATGCCATCGATGTAATGATCAAAATCTATTTAAAGAACGAAAGAAATCCGCTTTCTGGTATGTTATTTTGAGGAAGTGCCTAACACTGATCTTAGCTTTTCAATTCGACCATAAATGCCCCATGTTTCTCATTTGAAATCGTTTTCTCTTTCCTTCTCAAGAGTTACTCATTTCGTATGACTAATCAAACTTGTTCTATAACAACTACTTGATTATTAACGTGTCGATGAAAACAATAATAATCCAGGAGAAAACCAAGACTCATTTGAGATAGATAACAAACTAGACTTTTCATTCTGAGGAGATCATCGATCATCAAATCGAATAAATAATTAAGCCATCTCAAAAACACACCCTTGTTAACTCGAGATTTGTCTCTCTCACGTCTTACACTTCAACTCCATACTTCCTGAAAAGAACACAGCCTAGACAAAGTTCAGTTTTCCATCGACATGAGCATAGCGCCTTTAAGACGTTTTTTTTTCAATAATGTTACTTGCCATCTGAACGCAAACCAAATAAATCTCTTGAGAATATTCTCTTATCGATTGTCCTTGGTAAATCTAATTAAATTTTTTTGTTCCCATCTCATAAATATCAAGAAAATTGTATGTCGAAGAGTAATATTTCCTGATTTATGAAGTACAAAGGATAATAGGAGACGAATTATCCAAAAGATATTGTCATCGAGTACATATTGTTCACGTTCACAAGTATTTCCGTTTGCAAAAAAAACGGATCAACTTCAGTACAGGAAAGAATACTTTCTAGTAATAAATATGTATCATTTCGATCTTTGTCTATCCTGTTGACTCAATGTTAATATTTACTAATTCTTGCGCAGAACATCTATTCGAAAGTGCAAGGAAATAAAAAAAGCAGTTACCATCAGCGTCAAAAAATTCATCATCCGTTTTAGATTGTGCCATTTGTTTGAATCAATCTAAATACATACGAATAAAACAAAGAATTTCAATTCAAAATTCAACTTACAGTCTGCGAATAGATTAAATCTCATGATAACGATGAACATGAAAAATCTTTAAATAAAAAAAAAAGAAAAGAAAAGAAAAAGCACTTGCTTAATAGCCACTGCTGTAATCCTTTCTTTTTTTCGGATTTTTAGTTAAAGAAAACGGAGAAGTTTTCTTTTCAATGCATTACGATTGTCAGCGTGGCTTGAATTTGTATACAGAGAAGGGTTCTCTTACGTCCGTGTTTTTTTTTCTTCTTTTTCTTGTCGTCGTACTTTTTTTTATTGTATGCTGACAGTATTCTATATGATTTTTCTTTTTTTCGTCATCGGGTGGCACACATTATATTTTGGTAATGCCAATGTACGTCTGTGGAC